TATGTAATTGTCCCACATTGGAATAGGAGTAGTATCCCCTTTGTATAGAGTAGCTATAAATAGCACCTCTTGTATTGCATCACACACAATATATATCAATATATATCATATTTTCTCCCGTGCCTTCTCACAAATGTCATCAACCTAAATAACTAAGGGGTCGTTTGGTTGGAATACGGCTTATGCCGGTATAAGTTATGTTGGGATAAGTTATGCTGGGATTGTTGTTTATTCACTGTTTGGTATGTTGTATTAAGAATGACAATTGTATAATTTATAANAGTATAAGTTATACCGGTGCTAATTACCCCACCCTCTATAAAGTATAAGTTATCCCGGTGTTAAAAATAACACCGGGATAACTTATACCTGGTTTGCTAACCAAACAGAGTATTAAGGTGGTATTAAATTTTTATACCACCCCTATACCTTCTTATACCTCATACCAAACGACCCCTAAGAGTATGCATTTGCCATTGTGAGAATGTTTAAAACCACAGAGTGAACTATTCCTCTGTACATGCCGTTATGCCAAGGGACTAATGCTTATTGTTCTTTGCACATTGATTCTTTGCAAATTTTTACATCTTTGGTTATTGCTGCTCATTTTAGTCCCACGTATAATTGGCGTCAAGATTATTATGTCCTTTCTTACATTGTCTTTGTTGAGTTTCATTTGTAGTTTCTCATGCTTATCATGTGTTATTGTCAATGCTATTACTATAAATTTCAGTTTGGAACATTGGACCCTGAGCTTCCTGGACACCTTCTACTGGAACAGTATCAGGTAAGTCCTTGGATCATTCTTTCAGTTTATTCTATTAAGCAGCTTGTATACTTCCTAAATGTCCTAAATAATCCCAGCTTAAAGGCATAATCCAAATTTGATGCAAAATCCTTACTGATATTAGCTCAACTAAGCTAGTTATGTTACTTCTATTCAGGCCCAATTGGTATCTGCAGTTCGAACTGCACTGGACTCATCCTCTGGCCCTGTCCTATTGGAAGCAGGCTTGCAGCTGGCCACAAAGGTTATAGAATGCTGCCATGCATCTAGTAGTGTAAATTGATTGCTGTAAGCTTTAAACGGAATCACATGTGGAAATTGCAGATATTGACATGTAAAATCGTTAGTCGGGATCAACTTGCCGTAAAACGGATATTTTCATTAATTTCACGGCCTCTAAATGAATTCAATGACCTTTACTATCCGTCCTTTGCAGAATGGGTCTCATGCAAGGTTGGTTGCTTCCTGTCCAGATTATTTAAAGAAAAATTAGGATAGGCATATTTCCTTACACTTTTTTCTCCTATCTAAGCCATTTCTCAATGTTGTCTTTCCAGATCAAAGTGAGACTCCTTACAGCACATGCATCTCTGAAATGTTACACCTTTGCGTTCTTGAAAAATCAACAGAAGGAGATTTCCGATGAATATTTAGCTTTATTGCCTCTTTTCTCTGAGAGTTCAAAAATTCTTGGAATTTACTGGCTCTGTCTTCTGAAGGACTACAGCTATATCAGGACTCAGTCATTTCCTAAAGAAAATGTGAGCTCATAGTTTGATACATGTTTCTCTCTTTAATAGCTATAGCTTCTTTCACTTCTAAGGGAATGGAACACTAAGTAGTTGTTGCACTCTCTCTGCTAATTCTGGCAATTTTTTCCATGTTCCAATATGTACTACATGCAGTGGAAACCATTTCTTGATGGAATTCAGTCAACACTAGTTTCAACTAAATTGCTAGCATGTCTGGAAGAAGCTTGGCCCCTGATCCTGCAAGCCGTGGCATTGGATGCGGTTCCTTTGAACACATATATAGAACGATCCTCAGAAACTGAAAATCAATCTGTTACGGACTTAATTTCTGGGTACAGCATGGTTGAGTTAGGTTCAGAAGAGTTTCGATTTTTGTGGGGCTTTGCTCTTCTTCTTCTATTTCAGGGGCAAGATTCGGTTCTTGGTCAATCTAGGCTACCTATTGGTTCTGTCAATGCCATATTATGTGGTGGCGGTGTTGGTGAAGAAGTAAAGTCGACTTCTTTGAAGTTGTGTGAAGTTGTGTTGCCTGTGTTTCAAGTCCTGTCAGCGGAGAGATTTTTTAGCGTTGGATTTCTCACTATGGTTTCCTGTCAAGAACTGCTGCAGGTACTTTCAATGTCTTGTTGTTCCTGCTAAGTCACTCCAAAGTAATTTGGTTGTCTGATCTGTATTTGCATTATGGGTATCGTAACCCTTTCTTTTTTTCTTGGGTGTGCATTTTAAGGTTCTCCAGACATATCATATAGGCAATCAACTATGCAGGACCTCACATAGATTGTAATTATTGTCACTGAAAAATTGGTTTCTTCTTTGGAGAATATCCATGCTGTGGTTCTTCATTTTTTATATTCCAATTTTGAACCTTTATTATCATCAAACAAATGGCTTTTGGCATGCTTGTCATATATGTTTTTTCTTTCTTCTTCTGCTCGTAGGCCTCTAACAAAATTTTCCATATAAAGATCTCTAATGAAATTAATGTGAACTTCTGCAATTGAATTTTGAAATTTTCTTACATGTGGCTTTCTGCAAATTGCTTTTATTGATACTTTGGAATCTGACATGATGAAAAGACCACTTTAAGATGCCGAATGCTGGCTTTATCAAAAAACCATACTCAACGCAGGTTAAAGCCCATCGCAGAGTCATACTTTGTTATGGAACCTGATAGAAGGACCTTGGGCCTAATTCAACCCCAAAAGCTAGCTTATGAGGTGAGGATTGCCCAAGACTATATAAGGAGACCAAGGACCTCAAATCTCACCGATGTGGGACAACTCAACACCCTCCCCCACCCCCATGCCAGGCCTGCAAACTGGAGCGGGGACAACATAAATGGTGGTCCAACATCGGCAACAATAATTGGGATGAGCCTGGCTCTGATACCATGAGGACCTTGGGCCTAACTCAACCCCAAAAGCTAGTGTATGAGGTGAGGATTGCCCAGGACCATATAAGGAGACCAATGACCTCAAATCCCACCAATGTGGGACAACTCAACAGAACCACCAGAGTTTTACCTGTTCAAAACAAAAAAAAGAAAAGAAAATAGAGCCACCAGAACTCTCATTTGGAGTTCCTATTACTCATTATGAAGCTAGAAAGTATGCATTACTGTTGATTATTGTATTTGAGCATGTCATAACTTTGTCCAGAGAGCCTAAAGGTTCTCTTGGTAATGTCCCAAATATGACGTTAGAGGTTGAGGACACTGTATCTTTGCTGAGATCGAGTCCCTTCTTTCCAAGTTCATAGGACTCAGCTTTCAAGAGGCTATTTACTGCGTTGACACTGATAGTCCAGTTAAACTAGCTTGGTTTTTGAGTTGACATATCAGGAAGGAAAATAAGCGTATGTACTTTTAAACTTCTAGTTGGTTAGTTTTCCTGCTTTTGGTGAATCTTCTCTGTTAAAACTATTAGGAAGGAAGGAGTAGGTATTTAACATATAAACTTTTTCTGATTTCTACCCTAGTTGCTTGTCAAGCTTTATGGTATGCAAATATCCTCCTTCATTTCCTTCTTCTAGTCCTTTTTGATGTAGTTTTTGAGAGGCGGGGGTGCAGGAAGGTGCTAACTGAAATTTTTAGTGAAAAAGGAGCGAGGAAATTAAGGGATTAACTTTTTGGTTTCTACACTAGTTGCCCATGAGATGACATAGTGCGAGGGAGGGGGGGNCGAAAACAGAATACTTGGAGCGCAAGTTCAGTGATGGGACACATGAAGCCAAAGTGGAAGTGAAACTTGATATACAATCATCTCCAAGAGAGATAGTTTCAAATATCTTAGGTCTGGAATCCAAGGCAACGAGGAGATTAACGAGGATGTTACACATCATATTGGAGTGAGGTGGATGAAATGGAGGCTCTCTTCTGGTGTTTTTTGTGATAAGAATGTGCCACCAAGACTTGAGGGTAAGTTCTATAGAGTGGTGGTTAGACTGACCATGTTGTATGGGTATAAGTGTTGATCAATCAAGAAATCTTATGTCCAGAAGATGAAAGTAGTAGAAATGAGGATACTGAGATGGATGTGTGGGCATATCAGGAAAGATAAGATTATGAATGAAGTTCTTAGGGACAAGGTAGGAGTGTCACATGTGGAGGACAAGTTGTGGGAATCGAGGTTGAGATGGTACGAGCATGTAAAGAGGAGAGAGATAGATGTCCCGGTTAGGAGGTGTGAGAGTTTGACCATGAGGTCTGACGAAGGGTAGAGGTAGGCTGAACAAGTACTGGGGAGAGGTAATTAGGTAGGACATAGGACATGAACCTTGATAGGAAGGTGTAAAGGCCGAGTATTAGGGTTGCAAGTTGACAGGTAGTCGCGAGTTTCTCCTAGTCTTACCCGTAAGTAGTATTAGTACTATTCTTGTATTTTCTTATTCTTAGATCTTTATTATTACTCGTTTTGTCGTTCGCTTCCGTTATCTTTTTGCTATGGTGTGTTGCTTCCTTTTCATTGTTTCTTGAGCCGAGGGTTTATCGGAAATAGCCTCTCTACCTCACAAGGTAGGGGTAAAGTCTGCGTACACATTACCTTCCCCAGACTCCACTTGTAGGATTACACTGGATTTGTTATTGTTGTTGTTGTACACTAGTTGCCCAGGAGGTTTCTTCTAGGATGTCAATGTCCTTCATTTCATTTTTCTTGTCTTATTTCAATGCATTTTTTTACGAGAAGGTGCAGTAAGTTTTCAGTTAGATATTCTCATTTGACGTGCCTCTAGTGAAGTCTAATCAAAGTCATAATTGAAATGGATGCAGGTTTGCTTTTTCTCCATTTTTGTTGAAGATACATGGGACAGTCTTGCAATCTCTATTTTATCACAGGTGACATCCCATTTCATGTCATGATCGTGCTATTACTTTCAGGATGTAGCTAATGAAGGGTCCTTATTACACGTCAATGTCCTTCTTTACATTGAAATGCAGGATGGCTTACCAATCTTAAGTGAAATTGATATGAACCCTGGTTCTATATATGTTGTTGTAAACTTTGCATTATTTATGATTTTCCTTTTATGCACGACCTTTTATTGTCAAATAATATCTTTGGATGACCTAAAGGACTTGATACTGGTAAGTTCTTTATGGCTTAATTTGAATGTATTTTCTTATAGTTATGCAGGCACATATTTGAATTGCTTATCTATATGTGCATAACAGCCCCATAAAGATCTGTCTTTGAACTTCTTGTTTCTTTTTCGTTGGTTTGGTAGATTGTGCAGAACTGCCCCACAGATTTCCTGAAGACGGAAAGTTTTGTGTATTTAGTATCAGAACTTTATTTGGCACTTCTTTTTAAATCCTTCACAAGGTACCACTTCTTTTCAGTGAAGTCAAATTACCATATCCATGAAACAGTAACAAAAAGTAATTTTGAACTAACTTGCTTTGCCTTTGTCAGTGCAACTTCTCAGTACCATTCAAGTCAGGACGATATTGTTTCTGTCTTACTTACCACAGCACCGACACTTTTAAAACGTTATGAGCCAAAGGTGGGTGTCATGTCTTAACAGACAGTTCCTTTTAGTCTCTAGTTAATATTTTAATGATTCTGCTGCTTCCATTGCATCCAAATTTTTCATCAGTCGAGAATTGATCAATTCTTTTTTTACGGTTTTCATGCAGATGGGTTTGAAATCAATTTTGGCTTTTCTTTTGGTTGGTTATAAGTGCATTCAAAGGGCTTCAACTGAATTTTCTCTCTCAAGAATTCATGATTTTGTCCAGTGTTTAACTTCTTTGATGAAATCATATGTTACTGGTAAGCAATTCTCATAATGAGCATTCAAGTCCTTGATCTTTTGATTATTAGGCTGTAAAGGAAAGCTTTTGAGCTTGGATTTCTTTAGAATCTTGTTCAGTCTAGTAATCATATTTAACTCATTCCCCAATGTATGGAGTCGGTTTATTTCATGTCTATATTTCATTTGCGCATGTAAAAATCAGTTAAGTATTTCATGATCCCAAATTAGCTGGCGTCGGCTACATGAATCCTCTATATCCATTTCACTCTATTCGGGTTCATTTCAATCCAGTTTGTCTGTTAATGCAAATTAGGGGTTCTCGAAACTAGAGGTTTTTCAAATCTCGCACTTACCCTTACAGAAAGATATATGGCTGTAAGAGTATAATAGATTCTTGAAAAATGTTAGAAACCAAAGAAGTTCTATATTTCATATCTAGAAGAGAAGATTACAAGGCCTATTTATAATACTAATTCACCTAATCTATTAGTTGACATACACCTAATTACACCTACTATACAACTCATATACATGTGCTAGCTATGATGTAGTACATGTGTATACATGTGCTACACAACTTGTATTACACCTACTATACAACTCATATACATGTGCTAGCTATGATGTAGTACATGTGTATACATGTGCTAGACAACTTGTATGTCAACACTCCCCCTCAAGTTGGAGCATATATATTGATCATGCCCAACTTGTTACAGATATATTCAACTCGAGCTCCATTCAAAGCTTTTGTGAAAATGTCTCCCAATTGATCTCCAGTTCTAACATGACCTGTAGAGATGAGCTTTTGTTGAATCTTTTCACGAACAAAGTGACAATCTATTTCAATGTGCTTAGTCCTTTCGTGAAATACAGGATTAGAGGAGATATGAAGAGCAGCTTGATTATCACACCACAACTTTGCTGGCAATGTAGTTTGGAAGCCAACTTCACTTAATAGTTGATGTACCCATACAACCTCACACACAGATTGTGCCATAGCTCTGTATTGTACTTCCGCACTAGATCGAGATACGACATTTTGTTTCTTACTCTTCCCCGAAATCAAGTTTCCACCAACAAAAATGCAATATCCTGTCGTGGATCTCCTATCGGCTTTGACCCTGCCCAATCTGCATCTGTGAAACACTCAATGTTAGTGTGTTCATTATTCTTATAT